TACAGGGCTTTGGGTTTCGGATCTGTCTCTGCATTATAATACACTCCCAGATCTGGATCACCAGAACAGGATAGGATCCCAGCAGCGCCACATACCCTCACTAAACCATGAAGCATTATATGCTGGTTCTGCAGGAACGAGATGGTTGGCTTGGCAAAAGAACATGTGCATACATACTTGCATGCATTCATGTATGCATACATGCATACATCCATGCATGCATGCGGGCAACATACATATCGAGGCCTCAGAGGCCAAGGTTCTTGGGACCCCAGTACTAAACCCTAAACACTAAACCCTAAACCCTAAACCCCTAACTGCCGATGAATGCAGGAAGCCCGAGCATGAGGAGTTGACATGGAGGCTCCTGAGTATCTAGACTGGGCCTTCCACGCCTCTATACAATTCTACATGGGACCCTACTGCACACAATTCCTGAACCCTAAACCATAAACCTTATCCTTAATATAATACGGCACCTAAAAGTTAGGGTACCCAAAAAGGGACCACAATTTTTACAATTACCCATCTGTTACAAAACTCCAGAAGTTGAAGCAAACCTGTCCCCAGTGTCTGGTTCTTAGTTGGGAATGAGGGAATAGGCTATTGGGACTACTACTTAAAGGATCATGGGACTTAGTAACTAGGGCTATAAACAAGGTAACTATACTTATAACGACTTATAACCCCAATTAAGGTACTTGTAACCTTACTTACTAAGTCCCATGATCCTCAAAGTAGACCCTAAACCCTAAACCCTATAGATCTCTTTAAGGAACCCTATAGATCCCTTTAAGGATCCTCAAAGTATAGTAGTAAGGGGACTTTTCAGGATCCATTCCCCGAGTCCCTACGAAGCAAGGGAGTGACTAGGATACCCAGTAACCTGAGAATAAAAAGGCCTCTCTTTTTGGTATTGGGTAACTTTATAAGGAACCTAGGACTAGAAAAAGGGAATAAGGGTACTACTGGGCATCCTAGGTGAAGTTCTGAAGTGACAAACTTTTCTGTTGTAACTCACCCTCCATACAGGAAGCCAGATCTACAGACGCTAGGGTTTCGGGTTGTATAGGGTTTAGGGGTTTAGGGTTTAGGATTTAGGGTGGTATACCTGCCTCAATATTCTGCAAAGCGCGTTGGGGCACATTCTCATAAAACCGCTACAAAACCATGTCAGCAAACCCTCAGCCTATGTACTTCCTACATTATATGGACTAGGTTCCTGAGCAGCCCCTTTATGAAAAGGGTACCCCTTTCCTAAATTCTAGTTTATTCAGGAGACCCGAAAATAACAAGGGCAAAAGGGTAGGGAGCCTAGGTTTACAGTAGAAGCCAGAAAGTTGGAACATCAATATCCTCATGCCCTTAAGCTAGAGTATGGAAATCCCAGCGCCAATCCTCCTGGATCCCTGTTCCAAGTTTCTGGGGTTGACTGTAAACCATAAAGCATCCCTATAGATCCCTTAAAGGAACCCTCATGGTACCCTTCAAAGGACCCCTAAACCCTAAACCCTAAGAGCCCGTTCACTGTATGCACTGTATGGGTGGTTGTCAAAATAAGGGTCCCTTTTTGGGTCCTTATTATAATACGGCACCTAGTATTTAGGGTACCCAAAATGGGATCATAATTTTGACAACCATCCTAAACCCCTAAAGCCTATGCAAAACCCTTTAAGGAACCCCTTATGGATCCCTTTAAAGGAACCCTTATAGATTAAGGGCCCATGACAACCACCCATGTGGAGGAGTCCAACTTCAGGCCTTAGCTCGATTTTGGGGTTTGAGGCTTCTGGTTGAAGGTCCGGGTGTGGTTTCGGATGCTTTATAGGGCCGAGAAGCAGGGTTTAGGGTTTAGGATTTAAGGTTTAGGACCCTAAACCTTAAACCCTAGACTCTAGACCCTAAGCTCAAACCCTGCAAAACTACGGCAAATCTGCGCAGAAAACCGATCCCACCTCGTCCTCCGGATTGGGAGGAGGTGGCGGAGCCTGGGCTTTAGGGTCTAGACTTTGGGGTTTAAGGTTTAGGGTTTAGGGGGCATTCTTAGGAGACCTCAGGATTTAGGGGCCTTAGGGTTTTCGGCATCATTAGGGGTTCAGTAGGGTCTCCGGCGTAGGGTTCAGGGTTGTAAAGGCAGAATCTGCGAGGGATTCGGGTTAAGGATTGTTGACTGATAGTCTGCGGTTTAGGTTTTAGGGTCGTGGTGTTTCAGCGCTTCGGTGGCCAAAGCCCACCACCAGTTGCAAAACAACCAGTAAACTATCGACCATACTACTTACACTACTCAAACCTAAAGATGCTTCAGTATGATACTGGAAATATCGGCCACATCGACATGTTCAGTACTTCGAGTGAAAAACATCGGCCACACCTTTCGGCACTTCCAGTGCAGGATGTGATATAAAGACCACTACGATAACAAACGGCATATCGGTCTTATCGCTTTTTTTCGTCAACGTCGGAGCCAACAATAGCATCAACAAGAGCAGTGGCTGTAGTGAGGGAAGCACCAATAAGAGCGGCAACAGCAGTGGGCGCAGCAGCAACAGCAACCGCAGCGGCAACAACAACATCAACAGCATCGGCAACAAGCAACAACAACAGCAACCTTATCAATGACCACTATTGTAACACCCTCATTAACCCGAGCGCTCTGTTTACTTAAATAGTAGGTTACTCACCATGTAATATGTACCCCAGCCACCCACTATTTAGGTAACTGGAACCCAAGGCTAAGCTATCAGCCGCAACGGGCCGTACCTGTAGCTCGCAACGGGCCGTACCTGTAGGCTCCATGGTGGTTCCTTTTTGGGGTTCATATTTATAATTAGGCGCCTAAGCCCTTTCTCCGAAGAGTCTCTTCTGGGCACGCTGCCGGAGGCGCTGCAGGCGCCTGACTGGCCTCACAGGCCTAAATAACCTAGACCCAAGAGTAAGCTAGAAGTAAAAAACCTGTGCCCTGATTTACAGGGGTTTATAGGGAACCTGAACCCTAAAAAAGGATTAAGGGCCTACTCTAGGTCCCATTACATTCGAAATAGGACATTACCCTGAACCCCTAAACCCTAAACCCCAAACCCTCAACCCTAACTAACCCCGAAACCCTAAACCCCTAAACCCGAAACCCTAGGATGAAGTCTAAATACAGTTGAAAGTCCCCTAAGTGGGGTTATCCTCATTATAACCCACTTCTACCCTTACTTACCAAGTCCCATGAGCCTTTAAGCACAACCCTAAAACTCTAAACCCTAAAACCCTAAACGCCCTCAAAGAACCCTTAAAGGAGCCCTAAACCATAAACCCGACACACTACAACCCACAATATGCATTTCTAAGTACCTCTGTTGCTTGTGGAGGATCCGGGCTGCTCCCAAAGATTCACCGTTAAGTTTTAGGGTTTAGGGTTCGGGGTTCAGGGGTTTAGGGTTTAAGATTCAGGGTTCAGGGTTTAGGGCTGTTCAGGGCTTATAGGGTTTAGGGTGTAGCCTTCAGGGTTTAAGGTTTAGGGTTTACCGTTCAGGGTTTAGGGCCAACAACCTTGAGAAAGGAAAGCTCTCCGGGTCTAGAGCCCCGGGCTCTATAATATGTACCCTTTACTTTATGCTATATACCATACCATCCCGAAGGCTCCATGTACCTGTATAGTAGACCTATATAAGTACTTTAAAGCCTAAGTGTATACCATATGGGTACATGGAGCCTTCTACTACACTTTCGTGCACTTCAGATCTTCTAATCATGAAGGCCCCTACCTCAAATCCCTTGTAGACTGACGGGCTGAGTACGCGAGCTCAAAACAGGTCAAGCTTCGAATTATAGTAGAATTACTTAAAGGGTCATGGGACTTAGTAAGTAGGTTATAAGTGGGGTTATAAGTCCCCTAAGTGGGGACATCCTAATTATAACCTACTTATATCATTAGATTGCCCTGAGGGTCCATGTACCCATATAGCATAGACTTTGGGCCCAATGTACCTATATAGGGAGTACTTTAAGGCCAAGGTACATACTATGTGAGTCCATGGACCCTTATGGCTATAGAAGCCCCAAAAGGTTAAACGCTATTTACCCCTGAGGGTCTAAGTACTCCTCTTTTATGGTTTCTGGTACCGAAAAAGGCCTAAAGTCCAACAATAGGGAGTACTTGGACCCTATGTTCTCAGCCCCTTTGTGCAAGGCCTCTGGGGAGCCCTGTGGAACAGGCGCGCCCGGAACGGAGGACGTTCGCTGGCGGTCCTAGTGATGATCAGAAAGTTCATGAAATTTCTATACATCATCCCTAGGGTCTGAAGAATTTTATAGCTTCCGGACTTCGGGCACAGGATTTCGGGGTGGGGTTTGGGGTTTAGTTTAGGATCTGTGGTATAGATCTTAGGATGCAGAACCCGGCTGCCCACACATACTGCAGCTATGGTTGAGAGCTTAGAGATTGAAGGGTTCGGGCCTCTGCAATGTCTGCCTCTTGGGTGGTTTCGGGTGCGAGGTTTAAGGGGTTGAGGGCTTCGGCAGAGTTCTGCAAGGGCGTCAGGCACTGGGCTACTTCTGTAACCCCAATCAGCAGGGTTGTACTTAAAGGCTCATGGGACTTAGTAAGTAAGGATATTTAGGATAACCCCACTTAGCGGACTTAAAGCCCCAATTATAACCTACTTACTGGGTCCTATGATCCTGTAAGTAGTTGTAGGGTAAGCCTATCGGATCGGGCGGGAGAAGGTTACTGGCGAGGCGAGTGACCAGGATAGCTTCGAGCCGAGGAGGTACAGCAATAGCATATTTCCGGCATGGACGTGTGGTCAGAAAGCCCTGTCATGTAACAGAATGCCCCTTTTCTGCTGCCTTCTTCCTACAAGCACTTTCTTTCGGTCTTTTGCTGGCATTCCCTCGTACTTGGGCGCTGCGCACGCACTGCAGCAAGCTGCCCGCTCACTGTCCGCTGCCCTGGCACGAAAACACTGTCAGCTGACTCCGCTGGCCGCTCTCTCTCACCTAGCCTTGCCTCCTCAGCTCCGAAGAGATCGCTCTCCCACGCCCAGATGGTGTCGCTGAGGTACCACCACGCTTCCCACGGCTGGTCCTCCTTCTTCTGGGCTTGGTAGCCTGCACAAAATCTGAAACCTTAACAGAAAGACTCGGCCCGAAGCTGCTCGTGTCCATGGCCTGTCCACCCGTGGTTCACCAGAAGCTCGCGCTTGCTCGCTTCCGTCGTGCAGGCCTTCGGCAACAGAGGGAAAAAGCTGCAGTCTATTGGCAAGCTTGGTCTGCGTTGCAAGGATCAATGTAGGGCGCCGACGCGGAGGAGCTTCGCCATGGATTCGATGGGGGATGGCGGCTTCCGAGCCGGCTTTGCCGGCAGCTTGGGGCCCGTCACTGGGGCGCGGAGGCGGCGGTGGAGGCGGAGGGGGCGTCGTCGCTTCCAAACCGGGTTCATCTGCGGGCGGGTACCGGCCCTGCGCACGCCACAAAGAATGAAGGCATTGGCTTCACGATTGACTTAGCTTGGGCACAGGGCGGCCGTGCCTTGCGGATGTCCCACCAGCGACGCTCGGCGAAGTCCCATTGCACCATCAGCTGACCTGATGCAAGCATGGAAGAAGATCCTACTTCGGAATGGCGGTCGTGCGGACGGTGCTGAGGCTCCAACTCTTTTGTTTGTCATTGGCTCGGAGCCATTTTTTGCGCCTGGCAACAAGAGCACAACTTGCATTTCGAAGCATTGGACGCAGAGAACGAGGTTCTGGCTGCTTTGTTGTGAGCGTTTCGACAAACTTCTCGTTCACCGAACCGCTGCATTTGTGCCTGCGGAGAGCTAGCCGTTTCCGACGTGAATGGCTGGCAGAGGAGCTTCTGAGGCGAGAACTTCAAAAAGTCGGCGACCGACTTGTCGTGGTTGAACCTGAGGGATAGGGAATTGATAGGAACATGGTAGTGAACTCCGCAGGCCCCGGCTCCCGCGGCATGTGCTCCATTGCTGGATAAGAAATATGAAAACAATGCACTTCGATGCAAGCCAAACTGCAGAAAGAAAAACAGTTGAGTGAAAAGCGGGTCTCCCGAGTGACACACACTGAAACATTTCCATACTAGAAACAAACAGTTATATACATATATAGGTGTGTATACAAATCTGCATATATGCAGATATGCTCCATGGCTTGAGGGTGAATCTCCCAGAGCAGACTTCTCTGATGGGCTTAGGGCCTTTACGGTATTGATGTTTGGGGGTTTTGGGTTTAGGGTCCTCAGAACCGTTTGGGGTTTCAGGGATCAGGCGGAAATCTAGAGTTATGAAAGCTTCTGGAAAGGCTCGGATTCTTATTTCGGCTCCTGGAGGCTACTTGAAGGGTCAGGAGATAGAAAGTACGTTACAGTTTCGTTGAGAGTTTAGGCTTGAGGTTGGTTGTCAGAACTCGGAATCCTAAACCTCCTCCTGTCATCATGGCGAATTTGCCCGTCCTTGTCATAGATGTTAGCACCTTGGGGTCAAAAGGCATGAGCCTGGGAATTTCGAATCGGGAAGCTGTGTATCCTGCGCATCCAAAACCTCTTGGTTAAGCAACATACCTCAGGCTATGAAGGGATCCTTGTTATGATGTAAAGCTTATGCAAGGCATACTCCTCAAGTAGAGTCTCTGCCCATCCATCGATCTACCCATCTAGCTGCACCTGGCTGCCTATGCAAACACATGCAGACATGTATACATGTACAGCCGTATACACCTACTGACGTACTGAAGAAACAGCGATGCAAGCATTCAACCTTGCCAAGGCATCGCAAGCAAAGGACGCAAACACAGCAAGTGTGAGTTTCAGGACATACTGGATCCTTCTATATGGGTGCTTGTCAGAATTAGGGTCCCTTGTGAGGTACCTTAAACAATAGGTGCCGTATTACAATAGGGACCCAAAAAAGGGACCCTAGTTTTGACAACCACCCATATGACCTCAAACATGGGACTCTGATTCTAAAGCCATAGCCAATTCTCCCAGCAAGGTCCACATGAAAGCCCACAAGACCAGCCATGCTAAATGTCATGGCTATGACTGAACTTCATGATGGTGGTACGAAAGGGCCCCATGGGCAAATCAGCTATAACTTGCCGAAGCGTAACATACAACGGAGAACATGGAGACTGTGCTTAGAGCGCACGGTTCAAATTTGCATAACTTGCTAAAAATTGGCAATAGCCCTCCAGAAAACAAGTTCGACAAAACGACCACAACAAAAGGCAGGTGAGGACATCCGGCGTTCTTAAATCGGATTCCCTTCCAGGGTCCTGAGTACAAGCTTTAAGTTAAGGGTTTAGGGTTTAGGGTTCACGAATAACTTACAGGTCCATGTGCCGATGGAGTATACACTTTGGGCGTAGATATTCGAGGCCAGAATACATATTACATAGGCACGTGGACGCCCAGTGAGTCTAGAGCCCGCACCCTCCAAGAAAAAGCCTCGAGTCTGAGTATGACAAAACCTCTATATGGGAGTTTCCGCAAATAGGGGTGCCTTATTTTGGGGTCCTTATATTTAGTTTACGGTACTATATTCGGGTCCCATATTTTCGGAGCCTCCCATATAGCCTAAACCCTATAACATCCGAAACCCTAAAACCCCCCCCAACCCAACACCCTAAACCCTAAAACCCTACACCCTAGGAAACACATGTAGAGAAACCATAAAGTCCGAAGCCCACTTGTGGGTGGATGGGGGCTCTTCTTCGGCGGGTAACAGGGCTTTCGGGCTGTCATCAGGTATCTACTGTTTAGAGTTTGGTGACTTCTCGCCTACAGATGTTTCACGAAGTTCTGGCCCGAGGCCTTATACCTACAAAAAGCCCCAGCCTGACACTTTTGCTTCACTTGGCGTGTCCTCCGAGTCAACCTTCTCAACCATGGCGGGCGCTTGCCGTGAAACAAGATGTCGATGTGAGTTTGAACCGTCGTGTATTTGCCTGGCACCAAAACACTGAATCTCTGTTTCCTTTAATAAGTTACTGAGGACAAGAGCTTATGATACTTTTGTCCTGGGGATATTGCAGAAGATATCAGTTTGGGGATTTACATGTACAGAAGCCTCTGCTGTGTGTTTTCTAGCTTGCTGTGGTGGAGGCGCAAGGTGCGGACATATGGCTTGGTATGTTGCGTTCATTGCAGGCACTACATACATTACATGGGATGCATACGTGGCATGTGTTATGTGCAAGACACGCATTGCATGAATTATGCACATTTCGTGCGTTGCATACAATATATATATATATATATATATATATATATATATATACACACACACACATGCTACATGCAACACATCCGTTATACTCATTACGTACATGACATGCAACACATAACTTAAATACATTACATACATTGTACATGCATGCAGGCATGCATTCAAGTACCTTACATGACCTTGCAATGCCTGATGCCGTACGTACCTTTCACTACGCTACAGTACGTTACCTTGATACAGACATATATGACATGCATATACGTACGCGCACAGGTACGTACGTACGAGCGTACAGACATACAAGCAAACAAACATTGCAGCACACTGCACACTTCATGGTATACTGCCTTGCCGAATTCATTGCATTACATTGTATTGTATTGCAGGACGTTACATTAGACGATGCCGCAGCACATTATCTTGTATGACATTTCGTTGCCTTCCATTGCATTGAGTTGCATTCCATCGTAATCCATTGCACTGCATTAGGGCTCTCTTCGGTGCCTTGACATGCGAGCAGCTGTCACAGCACGGTGGGAAGCTGCCAGCCGGCTCGGACCGGGCTGGCTCGTGCGGACCCCACGGTCTGGCAGAAACGGGACGGACGTTGTACAGTCCGCGCCCAGGACAACTGCGAAAGAGGGTAAACCTGCAAATTTGCCTGGAACCTACGGCCGAGACCTCTGTGCTGCAGCTAGAGCTTAGACAGCCTGCCAGCCGGTGGGTGCCGCGTAGACTAGCCTGCACATGCAGGATGCTAGACCACCAGGAGGATCTAGACAGTAAAACCACCGTTTTGGGACCCTATACTATTAAGGCAAGGGTCTTGATAAGAACCCCCATTAAGGGATCTACCTTCTAGATCCCCCCGGTGGTCTGGGTATGCAAGGGAAAGGAAAAGGAGTCCCCGTAGTCGCCGGAGAACTCATTCAGGGATCCTTCGGAGCCAAACGGATCAAGGATTCAGGATTCGAGATTAGGGTTAAGGGTTTAGGGTTTAGGGTTAAGGGATTAGGGGTTTAGGGTTTAGGGGGGCTCCGTGACTTTTACGTTTCGTTTGGTCCCGGCGGAGAAATACAGCCTGGGTCGCCGCCTACTTGGCTCTTCCTATGACGACCTACTGCAGACTGTATGGGCGGAAGAAGCAAGCCCCAAAGCATGCAACCCTCCACTGTAACCCTAAGGGTCCAAGACCCAGAACGAGCAGGGTTTCAGGTACTAGTTACTAGTAGTTGGGATTACAGTATTGTACGTGGGTGTCTCTGTGTAGGTGCCTTGTCGCTGGGGCAGGTTGCCTAACCACGGCCGGGTCTCACTGGCATAGGAGATTCATCGACCCTGCATCCAGGTTTCGATCCTGGAAGAAGCCAAGATACCTTAAACCCTAAACTCTAAACCGAAGAAGCCAAGATACCTTCAACCCTAAACTCTAACCCGAAGAAGCCAAGAAACCTTAAACCCTAAACTCTAAATCGAAGAAGAAAAGAAATAAACGCTGAACCCTAGCCCCTGGAAGTCGCCAACTTTGGCCCTGCGACGTTCGCCTCGAAGCAGGACCTCCTTTCGCGATTAGTAATGTAGGAACCTGATAAAGAAACCCTGGGCCTGTACTTGGAGGGTCGGGGGACTTAGTAAGTAGGTAGTAAGTAGACTTATAAGTACCCTAAAAGGGTGCCTATTGGGGTTATGGTACTTATAAGTCCCGAAAATAACCAGTTACTAAGTCCCCCGACCCTCCAAGTAACCTCTAAAACAGTAGGATTCATACAGGGAGCCCTAAGGTTTCTTAATCAGGCTCCTACAGTAGAGGGTCTCAAGCCCTGGACTCGGAGTTTGGTGTGCTTCAAAAACTTTCCGTATTAGGGTTGATGATATAAATCTGCATTACACAAGGAATATACCATGATTCCCGTAGTTTAGGGTCATTAAGGTAATGCAGGATTTATTTCATAAAACGTAAGACTATGAAGGGGTACTAATACAAATCATGTTGTTCTCCAGATCACAGTGTGACCGAATAAGAACCAGGTTGGGGCGGATGTCTTAGTCTACGCTTCGACAACAGTCCCATTTCTCACGTACAGTATGTGGACAATTAGGTTGTACGCACCATCAAACATTTATTTCTCAAGCTCCGCATGTCTGAACCATGAGCGGGCTGCCTATCAAAACCCTAAACCCTAAACCCCTAAAAACCCAAAACCCAAACCCCTAGTTGAGCCCTAAACCCTAAGGAACCCATTCGTGGAAGACCAAGGATATGGCTTCGCTAAAGAGGCCTGGAAGGCACCGGAAGTTGCGGCCACTGGAGCCCAGAGCTTCCACACTGTAGGGCTTAGGGTTTAAGGGTTTAGGGGTTTAGGGTTTAGGGATGTAAGGGTTTAGGGTTTAGGAGGTTTAGGATTTGGGGTTTAAGGGTTTAGGGTTTGGGGTTGTGGGATTTAGGGTCTAGGGGTGTGGGGGTTAGGGTGTATAGGGGCCTTCATACTTGGAATGGGGCTTTGGGGATATCTTTCAGTACCTACTCAGGAGCTCATAGGAATACCTGTATACCTAAACCCTAATCCCCTAAACCCTAAACAGTAATCCCTAAACCCTAAATCCTAAACCCTATAATCTTATGTATATAAACGTTAATGCCTTCGCGGTTTTTTTCAATAAACTGACAAAAACCGCGAAAGGGTTGAGCAAATGACCCGAAAAATCAAAAACAAACAAATATCCGCGAACGCATTGGGC